TAAATCAAGAAGAAGTAAGCGAGCGCAAAAGGAAAAAAACGAGAGGGAGACTTATTCCCTAACTAATTGATTAGTTAAATCCCTGGTAACCACAGATGGGGGGCTATTTATAGGAGGGAACTCCCGCCCTAGGTGAGGACTCCCGCCAAGTTAGGGTGTAGGTCACGGAGGCAACCTACCGTAACAACCGTAACCTCCCCCCGGAGGAAGCGGCGTCCTTGCCGCTTCCGCCGTGACAGAAGTAACAAAACTACTTCGTCCTTTATCTTTATGGCAAGTATCGAATCAAATCAACTTCAAAATTCACAACAACAGTAACGACAATAAAAAAAGATTAATTATGCTAATTGCCTAACTCTACTACGGGAGGTTAAGGGGCCTAATGGGATCGAAAAAACCGCGGCGCGCTCCGCGTCGTCTTCCAGCTTGGCAATTTCCCCTGGGCACCGTGGGCTGGAACATCCGTAGCGGGTACTGCAACATTGGATGCTGCGGCGTGTACATCTGTTGGGCCATCATCATCGGGCAAGGCTGCATCGTGCGCTGAACATTACTGAATGAACCAGAGCAGCGTTTCATATTTCCTTTTTGGATTCATCCATTGATCTGTTCCTTCTGCTTGAAATAGAGACGAGTCCGAGATGAACGGCTTCTCGGAGCAGATTGCAATGGAGGCAATTCCACTTCCTCTTTCACATAGGTCCTCAACGCTTCGTAGTATTCCTGTATGACTTCTTTTGAATATGCTTCTGCGCTGGACCTTCTTGGATGAGCTCCGGGTCCGTGTGAGGGTTCTTGTGGCGATTCCGTACTTGGAATGAGACACCTCAATCCCTTCATGGTGACCGCCGCCGAATTCGCCAATTCGATCGCTTCGATCGTGTCCGCTCTGTTCTTTGCGTACGACTTGTCTCCTCGAGGGGGAGCGACGGCGATCATCTTCATACCCATACGAGCTGCCGTGGCGAGTGAAGTCGCGAGCTTGTACCATTCGCGTTTGGGAAATGAGCTCATCTGTCGTCGGACCGACCAGTGCACAAATACGAGCTGCAGAGCTCTCCAAAAGTCTTATGATGTCGTTGAGTGTACCATATAACCGACGTTCCACATCTGGACCTCGTGCGTAAGAAACAGGAACGAACCGTCATGGAGGGTCAATGTTCGAAATACTTGGCCACAATACTTCTTATAAAATAGATACGCCTTCTACTGCTCGTAGTGCTAATGCTACAACATTTCGAATCTAACATCAAAAACCGCCGGCGCTCTTCGGTTCTCTCGTGTTCATATATAGAAATCAAACAGGCTAAAGCAAATATGGAATCAAAGTGAATATTTCCTGTTGCTTCTGAAGCTGTCGGGACGACGTCCTTGAATGTTTTCCCTTGACTACAACGTATTTTGATGGTCGGGTGAGTATTACCAGCAGATTAGAGGACTAGCGATGGGACAAAGGCTTGTTCCAGTACTCGCAGTGGCATTCATGTCGAAAATTGAGCAACCTGCTTTAGAGCGTAGACCCATTCTATACTGTCGGTATATAGACGATTGTTTTATTGTGTGCTCCACCCAAGTGGAGGTAGACACCTGTTTCGGAATGCTTAACCAACAATCGGAACATATAAAGCTTACACGGGAGAAACCGACAGACGACTGGCTCGTGTTCCTCAATGTCCAGGTTCGAATAACTGCGGGTACCTTTAAGACTAAATGTATCGTAAGCCTACCAGCAAAACCATACTAGTCCATTTCCGTCCCTCCCATCCATTTATCACTAAGAAGGCCATCATAAGGAATATGTTGCACACCGCCTCTCGAGTTTCCTCAGGAGGCGAAGAGAAAACAGAGTCGATAAAACAGGCGCTCCGCATAGCACAGGAAAACGGCTACGATACCTCAGGGTTCCCATTTCGACACAGGCGAAGAACGGTCGCACTCAATCGTCAGGAGGAAGAGGAAACAAAAGTTGCATTTTGTGTCCCTCTCATATCAGACGAATTAAGTACGGCCATACGATCATGTGTGAGAAAGGCAGGTCTTCAGGACATGGCGAGAGTTGTGGATATCCCACCCTCGAACCTTAGACAACAACTGGACCGAAATCGTCTGTATGACCGCCTGTGCACAACGCCTTCGTGTGTCATATGCCCATATGGTAAGGGAGGAGACTGCATGACATCCGGTGTCGTATATTTAATATCGTGTCTTCAGTGTTAAGAGGAGTATATTGGGGAAACAGGCAGACCTCTTTGCATCAGGATAAAGGAGCACCTGGATGGTATGCAAAAGTCGAAAACAGCTACTTCTCTAGGAGAACATAGGGTACGATGTCATGGGAACATGAGGTTCGAGGTGATTATCACGTGAATCCGATATTGCGGCGCGGCGAACCTTAGAGGCCTTTTGGATCATGGCTAAGGCCCCTAAAATTAACCGGAGAGAAGAGTGCGTGGCGGTTACCACAGAGCTGGCGCCCTTTGCAACACTATGTGGGTTTTGCCCTACGCTGTCGATCCCCCGCGAAGTCCTCTCGGCGGGGCGGAGTCAGGGGGCTTATACAGTAATCGATAGGAGTTGATTTGGAAGGGGTCAGCGGCGCGCTCGACCTTGTGCGGCTTTTGAGGAGGCTTGATCTACGTGAACAGCCCCTCGGGGTTCCCTGAAGCAAGTTGACCTGTGGCTCGCCCTATTTAATCCCCAGTCCTACCAGCTTGGGGTGATCGGTGGACCACAACGGTCGGCTATCCCACAGGTTAGTTAACAACTTCCGACTTCCCATTAGTCAACGCCCTTTGAACTTTCTCTGTAGATTGAAATAGTTCTTGATCGGATGGTTTTTCAAGTGGCTCTTGTCTTTCCAGGCTCCGAAGAAGGTGAAGGCACCGAAACGTCAGCCTAATAAATATTGTTGCAATCTCGGTTTAACAGCTCAAAAGAGAACCTCAGAACTGCTAGTAGTTTCCATCTCACGGGGGAGGGGAAGGAAGCACTAAATTCTACGGTTACCTGGAGGGCAGGAAAACGCCGAAAAAAGCAAAAGTTTATTAAATCAAGAAGAAGAAAGCGAGCACAAAAGGAAAAAAAGAAAATAACGAGAGGGAGACTAACTTCCTAACTAACTGATTAGTTAACTCCCTGGTAACAACAAATGGGGAGCTATTTATAGGAGGGAACTTCCGCCCCAGGTGAGGACTCCCGCCAAATGAGAGTGTAGGTCACGGAGGCGACCTACCGTAACATCCGTAACAAAATTCAGCAAAGTTCCGCCTGTAGTGGGCGGAGCGTGCTCTTAAATGGGAATTCTTTCTAGCAAGAATTCATAACTTCCTTTAAATAGTTCTAAAATCCGAAAGAAAGAGTGGTTGGAGGAAGAATTATCCAATTCTGTGAACGGGCTGGGTTTGCACTGACAATGAGGTGTTTGAAGCTACGGAGATACGACGATAAATCTGCTTGACTGCATCCTGGAATGCGTATTATATTTAAACCACAGATATCCACTTATCTGTTCGACACTGCTTTGTGAGGCGCTTCAGTGAATATGAAGTCCAACGGGAATAACTAGTTTCTCTTTTCGTGGACCTGGAGTGTTCTAATTTGGAAGGGTTACAGATGGCGGAATAGGAAGACTGATAGTGGCAGGTCCATGATGCGACCATTGGGGCGGGGCTGCGGGGAGGGAGAAGGGTTGTGGGGGAGTGGGGAAGTGGAATTCGGGGTTCCTATCCAGTAGCCTTCCAAATTATGAACCACTGACTCATAGCTTTGCTCCCTTCAGACATTGAGCAACCACGTGGCCTATGCACCCGATCTGCTGTATTGATATCTTGTTGTGTGTAATTAGTGATCAGTCGCAGCTTCGTTCCCCTTAGTGGTTCAGCGCTCCAGCTCTACTATCCTACATATAAAATCGGCTTAGTGTGTCTGTTGGTGTGTGTGTGGTGTGTGTGTATGTGTGTATGTGTGTGTGTGTCCGACCGGCAATTCATAACTCCTGTTCCCGTGGATCGAAAGCGTTCAAATTCGGTAGAAGTATAGGCGGCAGGATGGGGGAACATTTCTAATGGGGTGGCAGGACCGGACTCCGCCCAAAGGGGGCGGGGTTTGTGAG